TTTTGAAAAGACAAATTTGACAAACTTTTAGTTAGATAAGAAAAAAAGAAGACTCAGTAAAATTCAAAGTACAAGAGAAGACATTATACCTGATGCCACAGAAACAAAAATAATCATCAGACTACTATGCCCAATTATGGGACAATAAATTGAATAACCTAGAAAGACGAAATTTCTAGAAACATATAACCTACTAAGACTGAGTCATGAAGAAATATAAAATTTGGACAGACCTATAACTAGTAAGGAGATTGAACCAGCAATCGAAAACTTTACAACAAAGAAAAGTCCAGGACCAGATGGCTTCACTGGTGAATTCTACCAAACATTTAAGAATATTTAATTCCAATTCTTCTTAAACTCTTCTAAAAAATTAAAGAGGAGAAAACACTTTCTAACTAATTCTTTGAGGCCTCATGCTAAAGCAAGGTAAATTCTATAAGCAAATATCCCTGATGAACATAGATGTAAAAATCCTCAACAAAATACTAGCAGTTCAAATTCATCTCTACATTTAAGGGATCATATACCATGACCAAGTGGCATTTATCTCTGGAATGCAAGGATGGTTCCATATATAAAAATCAACTAAAGTGATACACCACATCAACAGAATAAAGGGTAACAGTTACACAATAATTTCAATAGATACAGCAAAAAGATATGACAAAATTCAATATCTTTTATGATGAAAACTCTCAAACTAGGAACAGAAGGCAATTACCTCAACATAATAAAGATCATATACGAGAAGCCCATAGCTAACATCATACTCAGTAGTGAAAAACTGAAAGCTGTTCCTCTGCTATCAGGAAGTATGCTGAATACTTTTGTTCAACATAGTCCTAGCCAGAGCAATTAGGTAACAAAAAAATAAAAAGTGCCTAAACTGAATAGAGTAAAATAATCTGTATCTGCAGAGGACATGATCTTATATGTAAAACACTCTAAAGACACCACAAAAACTTATTTGTATAATCTATAATTTTACTGAATTCACTTATTCAGTAAAATTATAGATTATAAAATCAACATATGAAAATCAGTTGTGTTTCTATATACTAGCAATAAACTACCTGAAGAGGAAATAAAACAATTTCATTTACAATATCATCAAAAACTATAAAATGCTTAGGAATAAACTTAAGTAGAAGATATGTACTCTGGAAAGCAATGATGAACAAAACTTTAAAAGATGCCAGCAAATGGGCACACATCCCATGTTTATGAGTTGGAAGACTTAATATTGGTAAAATACCCATACACCAAAGCAATCTACAAATTTGATGCAATCTCTATCAAAATCTCAATGGCATTTTTTAATAGAAATAACAAAGCGGCCAGGCACAGTGGCTCACACCTGTTATCCCAGCACTTTAGGAGGCCAAGGTGGGTGGATCACGAGGTCAGGAGTTCAAGACCATCCTGGCCAATATGGTGAAACCCTGTCTCTACTAAAAATACAAAAATTAGCCAGGTGTGGCGGTGCATGCCTGTAATCCCAGCTACTCGGGAGACTGAGGCAGGAGAATCACTTGAACCGGTAGGCAGAGGTTTCAGTGAGTCGAGATCATGCCCCTGCACTCCAGCCTAGGAAATAGAATGAGACTCCAAATCAAAAAAAAAAAAAAAAAAAAATAGCAAAGCAACCCTGAAGTATATATGGAACCACAAAGGAGCTCAAATAGCCAAAACAATCTTGAGAAGAACAAAGTAGGAGCATCATACTTCCTGATTTCAAATACACTGCAATGCTATGGTAATTCAAGAAGTATGGTACTGTCATAAGAGAAATGAATCCATATGGCCAACTTATTTTTGACAGATTGGAGTACCAAGAATACACAATGAGGAAAGAATACTTTCTTCAACAAATGCTATTGGGAAAACTAAGTATCTACATACAAAATAATGAAATTGAACATTGACACCATACATAATAATTAATTCAAAATGTATTAAATAGTTAAATATAAGACCTGAAGCTGTAAAACTCCTAGAAGAAAACGCAGGGGAAAAGCTTCATAAAATTAGTCTTAGCGGTGATTTCATGGATATGATGCCAAAAGTCTAGGCAACAAGAGCAGTAACAAGTGAGATGTCATCAAACTAAAAAGCCTCTGCACAGCAAAAGAAACAATCAACAGAGTAAACACACAACCTACCAAAATGGGAGAAAATATGTGTGAATTATATATCTGATAAAGGAGTAAATAACTAAAATGTATAACGAACTCTTATAACTGAATAGTAAAACTAAACAAAAAAGACAACCTAATTTTTAAAATAGACAAAGAACTTGAATAGATATTTCTCCAAAGCAGCAGCAGCAATAGCCAACAAGTATATGAAAAAATGCTCAGCATCATTAATCATCAGGAATATGCAAATCAAAACCACGATATCACCTCACACTTGTTAAGATGGCTATTATCAAAAAACAAAAGATAACAAATGTTGGCAAGGGTTTAGATAAATTAGAACTCTTGTACACTGTTGGTGGGAATGTAAAATAACACAGCAGCTATGGAAACAGTATGGAGATGTCTCTAAAAATTAAAAACAGAATGACCATGTGGTCCAGCAATCCCTCTTATGAATATCCAAAATAATTAAAATCAGGATCTCAAAGAGATACTAGCATTCCCTTAATCACCTCAGCATTATTCACAGTAGCCAAGATGTGGGAAAATACTTAAATGTTCATTGATAATGAATGGATAGAAAAATGTAGTGTATAAATACAATGGAATATTATTCAGCCGTAGAGAGAAATCCTGCAATTTGTGACAACATGGATGAACCTTGAGGACATTATGTTAAATGAAATAAGCCAGTCACAGAAGGCCAAATACTTCACATTTCCACTCATATAAGTTATCTAAAATAGTTAAACTCATAGAAGCAGAGAGTAGGATGATGTTTGACAGGATCTCGCAGGATGGGAAAATTGGGAGCTCCTATCAATGGGTATTAAGTTTCACTTACACATATAAGAGTGAGTTCTAGAGAGCTGCTGTAGAACACTGTGCCTTTAATTAACAACACTGGATTGTATATGTGAAGGTTTGAGTGTAGCTCTCATGTGAAGTGTTCTAACAATAAAGAAGAGGAATTTTAAAAATTAAAATGTTTAAACTTCTAAAATTAAAAAATCTTGAAACAAGAAAATTAAATAGGAAAAAGAATCAAGGAGAAATAGGAAGAAGGAGAAAATATTTTTTAAAATCTTCCTTGAGATAAGAAAATACATATTTTATCCATTAAATAAGAATAGACTGTTATAAAAAAAGGCTATTCAAAGAACAATGAAATGCAATAGCAGAGTGGAAAACTCAGTAAAAGGATTAAAATATTAAGTTGAGATTTACTAGAAAAAAAAACATAAGAAAAGGGGGAAAAATGAGAAAATAAAAAACATTAAAATTTAGAGGAAAAACAATAAGATAGAAGAACAGTATATGAAATCCAACATCAAATAATAGGAGCTCCCTGAAAAGATAATGGAAAAAAGGAATAAAATTATCAAAGAAATAATTCAATAACATTTTCAAGCTATAAATTATGAGTTTCCAGGTTAAGAGGACCATAGTGTGCCTAGTGCAGCACATGAAAAACACCAAGGCACAGCATTATGAAATTCTAGAACACCAGGAAGTGGAATAAATGAAATGGACTTATGCAGTTTGGTAGCATTTGAGACTAAATAGATTTAAGAATATATAGAGACTAGGAGTAGTGGCACACGCTTGTAATTGCAGCACTTTGGAAGGCTGAGGCAGGTGGATCACTTGAGGTCAGGAGTTCAAGACAAGTCTGGCCAACATGGTGAAACTCTTGCCTCTACAAAATACAAAAATTAGTCTGGCATGGTGGTGGGTGCCTGTAATCCCAGTTATTCGGGAGTCTGAGGCAGGCGAATCACTTGAACCCAGGAGGCAGAGGTTGCAGTGAGCCAAGATCATACCACCACACTCTAGTCTGGGCGAGATAGCAACACTCTATCTCAAAAAAGCTTGTGTGTGTGGTGTGCGTGTGTGTGTGTGTGTGTGTGTGTGTGTATAAAACTAAACAAATGAGGAAAGGGACTTGTATCGACTCCAGGAAAAACAAAAGGTGGTCTTAATATACCACCAGAGTAAACAGCATTTTTATAACATTTTATCATTATAATGTCTACATGAATATTAATCTAACTTAATATGTGATATAACAATATGGGGACAATGGGAGAGGTAGGAAAGGTGGGGATAGCCTTATTCTTCCATAGTGGGAAGTTACTGGAAAGCTTAAAACTGATATTAAGTAATAGCAGTTTATGTACAGTTGTCCCTTGGTATCCATAGGGGTGGGTTGCAAGACTTCCCTTGGTTACCAAAATCTGTGGATACTGAAGTCCCTGATATAAAATGCCATGGTATTTGCATGTAACCTATGCACATCCTCCTATATACCTTAAATCATCTTTAGATTAATTATGATATTTAATACAATGTAAATGCTATATAAACAGTTGTTAGACTATATTGTCTAGAGAATAATGACAAGAAAAAAAAAGTCTGTATATGTTGAGTATGGATGCAATTTTTTTCCTGAATATTTTCAGTCCATGGTTGGTTGAATCCACAAATGTGGAACTTATAGATACAAAGGGCTGATTGTGTGTTATTTAGTGATGTTATTTTTAATGGCACTTAGGCATAACATATATAAAATATAACCGGCAGCTCACATGTGTGCTACCTGTCTCTTAGATCAATAATCCTATAGTACAAAAGCCTAGAAAGGAAGACAGGGTAAGAGAACCAGAATAGAACATAGACTATTACTACATTGATCCATAAGGATTATTTTTTTTTCTGTCTCATCCAAAACCTTCTTCAATTATAATACCATCATTTGGTATGGGCTGGGGACCTAAGGTGAGGTAGGAGGTAACCCATCATTTGTATGTAGGCTGTTGTTCAAAGTCTTACACTATTTCTTTTCTGCTGTTTTAGATTGGGAGTGTTCCAAATTAGAAGAACACATGCAGTGGAAAAATTCTACTCTTCTGGATACCAGTAAAGCAGTAGCAATAGAGAAGGCACCACAGTTTTCAAATGTCTCTGCAATTTTAAGTGAGTCACACATACAGGAGAACATTTATCTATGTTGGAAAAGCAAAGTATTTTTTCTCTTGAATGATTTCTAAGATAAGTTTATCAGTTGGATTGCCTTTGGCTACAGATAATATCTAATAATAGTATATGAGTTTACTTTTTTTTTTTTTTGAGGTGGAGTCTTGCATTGTCACCTGGGCTGGAGTACAATGGCACGATCTTGGCTCACTGCAACCTCCACTTCCCAGATTCAAGCGATTCTCCTTTCCCAGCCTCCCAAGTAGCTGGGATTATAGTTGCCCATCACCACACCTGGCTAATTTTTGTATTTTTAGTAGAGACAGGTTTCACCATGTTGGCCAGGTTAGTCTCAAACTCCTGACCTCGTGATCCACCCACCTTGGCCTCCCAAAGTGCTGGGATTACAGGTGTGAGTCACTTTTTTTAATTAAAAAAAATTTTAGCTTGGAGATCTTGCTATGTTGCCCAGGCTGGATTCGAACTCCTCAGCTAAAGTGATGCTCCTGGTTCAGCCTCCCTACAGGCATGCCATTGCCCTGGGCTGGGTTTACTCTTTAAATAACTTTTCAAAATTTGAGATAGGGTCTCACTTTGTTGCCCAGGCTGGAGTGTAGTGGTACAGTCATAGTTCACTATGACCTCTAACTTCTAATCTCAAGTAATATTCCCAGTCTTAGCATCCCGAGTAGCTGGGACTATAGGCATGCACACCCACAATCAGCTAATTTATTTTTATTTATTTATTTTGAGACAGAGTCTTGCTCTGTCACTCAGGCTGGAGTGCAGTGGCGTGATCTTGGCTCACTGCAACCTCTGCCTCCCAGGTTCAAGCAATTCTTTTGCCTCATCCTCCCTGGTAGCTGGGATTACAGGTGCATGCCACTACACCCAGCTAATTTTTGCATTTTCAGTAGAGACGGGGTTTTTCACCATGTTGGCCAGGTTGGTCTTGAACTCCTGACCTGAGGTGATCCACCTGCCTTGGCCTCCCAAAGTGCTGAGATTACAGGCATAAGCCATTGCACCCAGCCTTTTATAACTTTTTATTTTAAACTATTTTTAGACTTTTAGTCTTCCTTTTTTTTTTTTTCTGTTACATGATCCTATCCTGAATCCCATGTCACATTTAATTGTTATTTCTCCCTAGTCTCCTGCAGTTTGTAATAGTTCCTCAGTCTTTCAGATTACTGATAAGTTATTTTGTAGAATGTCCGTTGGTTGGGATTTATCTACTAGATGTTTCCTCATGACAGGAATTAAGTTGTGGCCAGGAGCAGTGGCTCACACCTGTAATCCTAGCACTTTGGGAGACTGAGGTGGGAGGACTGCTTGAGGCCAGGAGTTCGAGACCAGCCTGGGCAACATAGTGAGACCCCCTATCTCTACAAAAAATAAAAAATGAGCTAGATGTGGTGGTGCAAGCCTATAGTCCCAGCTACTCGGGAGGCTGAGGTGGGAGGATAAGAGGATCACTTGCGCCCAGGAGGTCAAGGCTACTGTGAGCCATGTTTGTACCACTGAATTCCTGCCTGGGTGACAGAATGAGAATCTTCTCCAAAAAAAAAGCGGGGTAGGGGAATGAAGTTATGGGGTTTTTGGTAAGAATACCATAGAAATGATGTTTTGCCTTTGCAGTGCCTCATATTATATCAAGGGGTTTGTGATTACTGGTGATGTTAAACTTCATCATTTGGTTAACCCAGTATCTGCTGAATTTCTCCAATTAAAAATCGCTGTTTTCTCTTTGTAATTTTTGAATATCTACAAAAAGATAGTTTGAGACTGTAAACTCTGTTTCTCCTAGGACTTTATTTCACTAATTTTAGCAGCCATCAGATGAGCCAGCTGACTTCAACCCATGTTACTGTGGTGTCTGTCTAATGGTGTTTTTTTCAGTATACTCTTTCCTGCTATTTTTATTAATTGGAATCCTACTGTAAAAGAAGAACTTTCTCTTTTCTGCCGTTTGTTTATTTATTTGGTTTCTTATTCACTGTATACTTGTGGATATTTATTCTATGGTTTGAAATCCAATACTTTCATCATTTATTTATTGAATTTATTTATTTATTTAATTCTAGTATATATAGAGAGTAGTTTCAGAAGTGTTAACTCAGGCCCCTGTAAGAAACACATTTAGTAAATAAATTACAGCATTTATGTGCAGTTCTTTTTGTCTTTAGCATTACAGCATCCAGTCAAAATACTAATTTTCCAAAGTTATGTAAGTTCATTTTCTCCCCACTGCTCTTAGCATATGAGAAGTTATTCACTTGTAATATGTATAGTTAGACTTACTTATTATTGTTGGATTTACTTTTGCATTCACCTGTCCTGTTTGGTTTTGTTTATGTATTCAGGAATATGAAATATTACTGTGGTTTTAATAGTCATAGCTATATAAAAATGTATTCTCAGAAACTTATCACTTTCTCCTTCTTCCAGCTACCATTCTTCTCTTCTTTCTACCCCTTTCTCACCCCCTGTGGGTAACTGGTCTTTTTAGTTTTTGGCTTATCCTTCCTGCTGCGTTTCTTTTGTACAAAAGAGGAGATATCTGTGTATTTCTTTATATCCTCCTCTTTGTTACATGAAGGGTAGCAAGCTGTATAGCTACTCTTTTTTCACTTTGATTTTTCCACTTAATAGTATGTAGTAGAAATCACTACACATTGGTTTACACAGAGATCTTCCTCTTATTTTTTACAGCTGCACAGTACTCTACTGTGTGGATATACTTTTGTTTATTCAAAAATACCTATAAATTGGGTATTTAGATTTTCCCCCAATATTTTGCCACTATAAACAATACTTAATGAATAAACTTATGATATATATTTTCATGATATTGGCAGTGTGTCTTCAAGGCAGATTTCCAGAGGTAGAATAGCTGGGTCAAAAGGTAAATGTGTATATTGGTTTATTGGATATTGCCAAATTTTCCTCCAGAAGGATTATAACAGTTTGCATTCCCAACAGCAATGTGTCAAAGTGCTGGTCTCCCCATATCCTTACCCAAGAATATGTTGCCATTTAAAAAAAATTTTTGCTACTCTCATAGGTGAGAAATGGTATCTCTGTGCTATTTTAATTTGTACAGAGATGGTATCTCTGTGCTATTTTAATTATATGTTTAAACTCACAATAATATAATTTCCATAATTATACGTGAGTTTTAACATTTTTGATATGTTTAAGTGTCATTTTTATTTGAAGAATATTGGTCTTTTGTCTGTAACCTTTTGTTCATATGTTATGAATATTTTCTCCAAGTTTGTCAGTTGTCTTTTTGTTTATGGTATTTTTTGTCATGCAAAAATTTTTTATTTATATTAGGTTTATGTTTACCAGCCCAGAACTAGTGTAGCAACTCAATAATATCATCAAGGTCATAGGCTTTTATGTCAACATACAACCAAGTGTGCTGGCTTGTTACCCCATATTTGCAAGGTGGTTGCTAAACCTCTAAGTGTCATAGCCATGTTTCCGGTAGAAAGAAAGAGAGGGGGCAGGAGTAGCCACACATATATCCTTTTATTGGAAGAAGAAAAGCTTTCCCAGAAATTCCCAGCCGACCTCTACTTTGGTCTATTGGCCAGAACTGGGTCATGCATCTAGGGAGATTGAGAAACCTTGCTTTCCTATCCTCTATTGTGGTAGAAGGCAAGGAAAATGGAGAAGGGGAGTAGGAATGGATATTGTCTGCCCACCTGTTAGTGCCTGCCACTAAGAAAGGGGCATATTAGTCAAAGAACTAAACATTGAGTTAGAGGTCCTTTATTGGAAAGTTGATAGCTGTCTAGATGGCAATGTTTTTACAGTGTTTGAAGGCCTTGTCTTCTGTATTATGTTTAGTTTGTCATCTTTGCTGGAATAAAGTGCTCAAAGAAGCAGCCTGTCTCTTTAGCAAATGTTTTGGGTAGGATCCTTGTCCCTTGCAAATGTCAAAAAATATAACAATATTGGTTAAAAAGGGAATTTGTTAGCACATGTACCTCAAAAATTCAGCAACAAATCAGGTAAATATATGCAACTTGATCCAGGGTTTCAAATGATACCAGTAGGACCCAATTCCTCTCTATCTCTCGGCTGTGGATCCCTCTATGTCAGTTATGCTCCCAGTCAAATCCCTTCATAGAGCAACTCTTGCTAGCCCTAGGGTTACATATCACAGCCTCAAATCCATTTTAAAAAGTGTTTCTCTTTCCCAAGTATTTGAACAGAAGTCCTGAACCCTTATACATGGGCTTAATTAGTTTACATGCCTTTCCCTGAACCAGTCACTGTGTCCAGGGAGATACAGAGCTCTCACTGCATTGAGTTGTAGGCTATGCCTAAACCACCAGGAAAAACAAAACAAAGCAAAACAGGTGACTGTTACCAGCAAAAATAGAGTAGATGCTGGATGATAAGTGGCCACTGTAGCCTTCATGTTCTGAGAACCTCCCTTTTAGGAAATGCTTAAAGGCATCATTTACTTTGTCTCTGCTTAATTGGGGAGATTTTAAAATTCTATTCTAACATAAGCAAAGTGCCACAGCCACTAAAGATTTTAATTTCTTTAGACAACTATACTCATGGTTCTTTATATTCCTAGTAATATCCTAATGTACCTGAGGCATTCAAATGTGGGTTGGCAGAAATTCTCTTGACTAATCAATCTACTAGTATGTGTTTCTATATATTTGGTATTCAACTAGTATTTGACTATTAGTTTTGTAAAACTTTTTTTTCAGATGGAGTCTCAGTTTGTTGCCCAGGCCAGAGTACAGTGGTGTGATCTCAGCTCACTGCAGCCTCCACCTCCTGAGTTCAAGCAATTCTCATGCCTCAGCCTCCCAAGTAGCTGGGATTACAGTTGCATGCTACCACACCTGGCTAATTGTATTTTTAGTAGAGACAGGGTTTCACCATGTTGGCCAGGCTGGTCTCAAACGCCTGACCTCAGGTGATCCACATGCCTCGGCCTCCCAAAGTGCGGGATTACAGGTGTGAGCCACCATGCCTGGCCTAGTTTCGTGATTTGACCAGTTATTTTTTTCTTATATAAAATGGGGATAATCCCAGCTACTCAGGAGGCTGAGGCAGGAGAATTGCCTGAACCCAGGAGGCGGAGGTTGCGGTGAGCCGAGATCGCGCCATTGCACTCCAGCCTGGGTAACAAGAGTGAAACTCCGTCCCCCACCAAAAAAAAAAAAATGGGGATAATAAATTGATATATTTACATGACAAGATTGTTGTAAGAATCAAGTAAGATAATAGATGTAAAAAGACTTCAAAAATTATAAAGAACTATTCAAATACAAGGGAGAGATTCCTGTATCTCATAAAATTTTGCAACTTTTTTTGCTTTGATATTTTGAAAATATTTTTACCCAGTTTTTAAGGGCAGACACAAAAAACAATATTAAAAAAGATATGAAAATAAACTATACTTGGGGGAAATACTCATTTTTACCTAATTTTTGCCTCTGGTTTGTCTTTGAATTATATTTCTTTTTCTTTTTTCTTTTTTCTTTTTTTTACATTAAGTTCTGGGATACATGTGCAGATATTGCAGGATTCTTACATAGGTATACACATGCCATGGAGGTTTGCTGCCTCTATTCCCTGGTCACCTACATTACATACTTCTCCTAATGTTATCCCTCCTCAATCTCCCCACCTCCTGCTATCCCTCCCCTAGCCCTCAATCCCCAGTGTGTGATATTCCCCTCCTGTGTCCATGTGGTCTCATTGTTCAACACCCACTTATGAGTGAGAACATGTGGTGTTTGGTTTTCTGTTCTTCTGTCAGTTTGCTGAGAATGATGGTTTCCAGCTTCATCCATGTCCCTACAAAGGACATGAACTCATCCTTTTCTATGGCTGCGTAGTATTCTGTGGTGTATATGTGCCATATTTTCTTTATCCAGTCTATCTTTGATGGGCATTTGGGTTGGTTCCAAGTTTTTGCTATTGTAAATAGTGCCGCAATGAACATATGTGTGCATGTGTCTTTATAATAGTTCAGTTTATAATCCTTTGGGTATATACCCAGTAATGGGATTCCTGGGTCAAACGGTATTTCTAGTTGTAAATCCTTGAGGAATCGCCACACTGTCTTCCACAGTGGTTGAACTATTTTACACTCCCACCAACAGTGTAAAAGCATTCCTATTTCTCCACATCTTCTTCAACATCTTGTCTCTAGATTTTTTAATGATCACCATTCTAACTGGCGTGAGATGGTATCTCAATGTGATTTTGATTTGCATTTCTCTAATGACCAGTGATGATGAGCTTTTTTAATATGTTTCTTGGCCACATAAATGCCTTCTTTTGAAAAGTGTCTGTTCATATCTCTTGCCCACTTTTTGATGGTTTTTTTCCTGTATATTTGTTTTAGTTCTTTGTAGATTCTGGATATTAGCCCTTTTTTGGATGGGTAGATTGCAAAAACTTTTTCTCATTCTATTCTTGGTTCACCTTAAGGATTGTTTCTTTTGCTATACAGAAGCTCTTAAGTTTAATTAGATCCCATTTGTCTATATTTTGGCTTTTGTTGCCATTGCTTTTGATATTTTAGTCATGAAGTCCTTTCCTAGGCCTGTGTCCTGAATGGTATTGCCTAGGTTTTCTTCTAGGGCTTTTATGGTGTTAGGTCTTATGTTTAAGTCTTTAATCCATCTGGAGTTAATTTTAGTGTAAGGTGTCAGGAGGGAGTCCAGTTTCTGCTTTCTGCACATGGCTAGCCAGTTTTCCCAATACCATTTATTAAACAGGGAATCCTTTCCCCATTGCTTGTTTTTGTGAGGTTTGTCAAAGATCAGATGGTTGTAGATGTGTGGCCTTGCCTTCGAGGCCTCTGTTCTGTTCCATTGGTCTATATCTCTGTTTTGGTACCAGTACCATGCTGTTTTGATTACTGTAGCTTTGTAGTATAGTTTGAAGTCAGGTAGCATGATACCTCCAGCTTTGTTTTCTTTTGCTTAGGATTGTCTTGGCTATGCAGGCTCTTTTTTGGTTCCATATGAAGTTTAAGGTGGTTTTTTCCAGTTCTGTGAAGAAGGTTAATGGTAGTTTGATGAGGATAGCATTGAATCTATAGATTACTTTGGGCAGTATGGCCATTTTCATGATCTTGATTCTCCCTAATCATAAGCATGGAATGTTTTTCCATCTGTTTGTGTCCTCTCTTATTTCCTTGAGCAGTGGTTTGTAGTTCTCCTTGAAGAGGTGCTTTACATTATTTGTTAGTTGTATTCCTAGGTATTTTATTCTCTTTGCAGCAATTGCGAACGGGAGTTCGCTCATGATTTGGCTCTCTGTCTGTTATTGGTGTATAGGAATGCTTGTGATTTTTGCATATTGATTTTGTATCCTGAGACTTTGCTGAAGTTGTTTGTCATCTTAAGGAGATTTTGGCCTGAGACAATGTAGTCTTCTAAATATACAATCATGTCGTCTGCAAATAGAGTCAAATTGTCATGATTGTATATTTAGAAGACTCCTTCCTCTTTTCTGAATTGAATACCTTTATTTCTTTTTCTTGCCTGATTTCTCTGGCTAGAATTTCCAATACTATGTTCAATAGGAATGGTAAGAGAGGGCACTCTTGTCTAGTGCCAGTTTTCAAAGGGAATGCGTCCAGTTTTTGCCCATTCAGTATGATATTGTCTGTGAGTTTGTCATAAATAACTTTTATTATTTTGAGATATGTTCCATTGATACCTAGTTTATTAAGAGTTTTTAGCATAAAGCACTGTTGAATTTTGTTGAAGGCCTTCTCTGCATCTATTGAGATAATCACGTGGTTTTTGTCTTTGGTTCTGTTTCTGTGATAGATTACGTTTATAGATTTGCATATGTTGAACCAGCCTTGCATCCCTGGGATGAAGCCTACTTGATCGTGGTTGATAAGCTTTTTGATGTGCTGTTGCAATCGGTTTGCCAGTATTTTATTGAAGATTTTTGCATCAATGTTTATCATAGATATTGGCCTGAAATTTTCTTTTTTAGTTGTATCTCTGCCAGGTTTTGGTATCAGGATGGTGTTGATCTTATAAAATGAGTTAAGGAGTATTCCCTCTTTTTTATGGTTTGGAATAATTTCAGAAGGAATGGTACCAGCTCTTCTTTGTAGATCTAGTAGAATTTGGCTGTGAACCCATCTGGACGTGGATTCAATTATATTTCTAATAGATTGTTTTTATTTTCTTTCCTAGGTACCTCTTCAGAAGACTATCAGAAGTGCCATAGAAAAACGTAAGAACTAAAAAATTTTAAATTGTATTGAACTTTTGAAACCCTATTTTATAATAGTTTTATAGCAAGTATGATTGTCCACAAACTCAGGTGTTCATTTATTATTTGTTGACTACTCACCATGTGTCAGACCTGTTGTAATTGCTAGAGATATAGTAGCGAACAAAATTGATTTAAAAATCTCTTCCCTCAGCAATGATAGCAAAAAGGAAAAGTTGAAGAAAAATTCAAGAGGGATAGTCAATAATTTTTAATGACAAATTGGAAGAAGTTAAAATTCAAGTTGGCCCCCAGCCCTCTGACTTAGGTAATTGCATGAAAACTTATTTACTAGGTGAGGGAACACAAATGAAAAAGCAAGAGTGGGTTGGGGTGACACTGAGGTACTGAAAGTACTTTAAAGTGGAGATGTCCAGCAAGGAGTTGGATGGCGCAGCCTGGAGAGCAAGGGAAAAGTCCTGGGCTGAAGGCATAGTTGTCTTCTTCGGAAAGTTTGTAGAGTGAGAAGAGAGTAGCGTTAGTATAATAGCCTCTTTATAAATATGCCACATCTAAATGGTGAGAAATTTCTGAAGAAAAGAAAATCTGTTGTTTTTGGGTGAATTGTCTTTTAGTAAATTACAATGAAAATTGTAAATATAAATGACTAAGGTCACGTAAAAAATTCCTTTGACAATTTATAATGTAATATATTCTTTTTTTTATTGCATTTTAGGTTTTGGGGTACATGTGAAGAACATGCAAGATTGTTGCATAGGTACACACGTGGCGGTGTGATTTGCTGCCTTCCTCCCCA